CATTACAGATAAAGGTCAAGGTCATCCAGACTATTGTACTCCCAACCACTATGTATAGGTGTGGAAGCTGCAGAAAGCTGACAGGAAGAAAATTGATGCATTTGAAACATGGTGCTGAAAGAGAGCTTTGTGAATATCATGGAACAACAGAAAGATGAACAAGTGGATCCTACATCAAATCAAGCCAGAACTTTCTCTGGAAGCAAAAAAGGTTAAACTGAAGCTCTCATACTTCAGGCAAATCATGAGGTGGCAAGAGTCACCGGAGAAGTCAATCATGCGAGGGAAAGTCAAAGGCAGAAGATGGTAAAGGCCAAACACAAGATGGACTGATTCAATGCAGCCTTGAATTTACAAGAGTTGAGCAGGGCTATCAAGGACAGAACATTTTGGAGAGCGTTCATTCATAAGATCACCATAAGTCAGAGATTCCTTGATGGCACATAACAACAACAAATTGCACATTGCAAGAAGGTTCTAACTATGAAGAGTAACATAATTGTATCATGTATGGTCTGGGAAGTCTTTTTTCAAAGGTGGAATCATGTTTGGAGTTGCCATAATTAATGTATTATATCCCTCCCTAACTGCTTGATCTTGAAATCAGGTACATGGCTCCTTCCCAGTCAAAAATGTAGAGTTATACCCTAAATGAATGACCAAGAATTTTGTTGTCTTGTTTAAAGTTCAAGAAAGATACTGAATTTCCAGTAGAAAATGACAGACATATGAGCTAAACCAATTTCTCAGTTTGCTGAGCCAATTAGCTGGGTATACTTTGGGTAATAAATATGGGGAAGCAAGAGCCAGAAGACCAGAAATGGGAAAAATACATGACCCATACAATAACAAAATAAAAAGGTGTGGCACGAGGCCTCTCTCTTCAAGGTATAATGTAGCCTCCTTGGCTGCATGGGTATTTTGTCCATCCAGTAAGGCAGGGCCATTAAATGCATGCCCACATTTAACATAATTGGTTTATATGTATGTTATACATTCTGGTATGTTATGTTGTGGGAAGAGAGTTTTGTCCTGATTAAAATCATTCCCTGAAGCTGCTATTTGCATGGAGGGTGGCGCCGGGGGCGGGGGGGAGGGATTGCTACCAGCAACTTCCATTTCACGGCAGATCACTGGGTGGGTTTGTCAGGGCAATGACATGGTTGTGGGCGAAGGAATAGCCCTCTACTCACATGCTAAGGTCCTGATCATACCCCCTTCCATTTGTCTGCTATTTTAAAAAAATGCACAGATGCAATAAACTGAATCATGCATTGTACTTAACATGTGGTTTAGCACTGAGATATGATATGACCCTGAATCTTGTCTCACCTTTCTCCCCTCCTTTAGTATGCAAGTACTTGGCTTTTGCCTTTGGCTGGACAGGAGAAGCCCTTTGTTAATGGGGAGTTGGCATATGAATAAATCTTAAGAACTGGCTTAATTTTAAGTTCTGGTGGTACAGATTTATTTACATAGCGTCATCCATGTGCACTGCAGAGGAAGAAAACCAAAATATATAAATAAGGGTTGTAGGAAGGCAGAACAGGAGTCCGGAGCCTTAATTTGTGGGAAAAAAGAACTGCAGGGAGAGCTGCTTCTCTCATTTCCACCACACTATTGTTCTGACCAGCTCCGAGCCCGGGAACAGGAGGCACAGACCTGCCCCAGCACTGTTTTCATTCAGATGCTGGCCTTTGCTTCAGTCCAGGTTTCAGGAGGCAGTTGGGACAGATTTCCAGAGGCCACTGTGCTTGATGGGTAGATGACAGTGGGAGATGAAGATGCTGCAGAAGGACACTTTAGGGTCATTCTCACATCTGAGGAGCATCCTCCATGAATAGCATATAAAGGAGCTGTTATATGGGCTTTCCTGCTGAGAGCGGCTTTTGAATCTTGCTGGCAGTACTGACCCCCAAATCAACAAGGGACCTAAAGCACATAGCAGCCCGCAGACAGGACTGTTGTCAAGCAAACAGAATGCTTATGAGAGAGCAGCAGTATCAAAACAAGCCTAGGTGGATGAGCTCTGCCCATGTTTTGAGAGGACTGCTTTCACACGTCAGGTGAAACCCTTAGACATTTTCAGTGTACGCTTGCTTAACACAGCAGGCATGAATGCAGCAAGTGTGTGCCGTGCAGGTACACACCAGTCCAGGGATCCATGACTGGCAAAACCCCCTCCTGGGTGCAGGCTCAGCAGCAGACTTGCATTTTCCCCAACCTAATATGTGAAATGGTGTTTTGCATGCAAAACTTACAGAGTGGGAATCAAGAGGAGACAATTACCTTTTCCTCCTTCCACAAGCCTACTTGTTCCAGTGCCAGTAAAAATAAAATAAACTATTGGACTTTGGATAAGGAAAGAAAGTAGAAGACAACAGAAGAAGCTCATGTGGCTTCACAGAAAGCTTAGAGATGATCTGAAAACAAACCAACAAACAAAAAGGACGTGTATAGGAAGCGGAAGGAAGGCCAGGCTACAAAGGAAGAATACAGGCAGGGAGCATGGAATTGCAGGGAAGGCCTCAGGAAGGCTAAAGCTAGGAATGAACTGAGGCCAGCGAGGGCTGCTAAGAGCAACAAAGAGGCCTTCTTCAGAGGAAAGAAATGGGGTTCGGCTAAATGATAACAGATGCCACAGAAGGGCAGAGGTGCTCAATTCCTACTCTGGCTCAGCAAGAGCTATGACCTTCCAGATGAAGGGGAAGTACAAGCTGAAGGAGTAGGAAGCCACTCAAGATTGACAGGCAAGTGATCAAGGATGATCTAATTGGGTTGAATGAGTTCAAATTCCCAGGGCCCAATGAACTCCATCCTAGGTCAGAAAGGAGCTGGTGGAGGAACTTGTAGAACCACTGTCTACTATCTTTGAGATGTCATGGAGGACAGAGGAAGTGCCAGATGACTGGAGAAAGGCTAATGTTTTCCCTATCTTAAAGAAAGGGGAAAAAGAAGGACCTGGGAACTATAAAACAGTCAGGCTGACATCAATCTCTGAAAAAAATCTGGAGCAGATTATAAAGCAGTCACTCTGCCAACACCTTGGAAGCAATTATTAGACTCCAACATGGATTTCTCAAGAACAAATCCGGCCAGATTAATCTGATTTCACTTTTTAATTGGGTAACTCCCTGATGGACTGTGAGAATGCTAGGGACATAGTATATCTTGACTTCAGCAAAGCTTTTGACAAAGTGCCCCACAATATCCTGATTAGCAAGTGAGCTAAAAGTGAGCTGGATGATACAACCATCAGGTGGATCCACAGCTGGCTACAGAATCAGACGCAAAGAGTGCTCATCAATGGCACCGCATCTCAGACTGAGGAGGGGGAATGAGTAGGGCACCACATGGTTCAGTCCAAGACCCACTGCTCTTCAACATTTTTGTTCATGATTTGGATGAGGAAGTGCAGGGAGTGATTATCAAATTTGCAAATGACACAGAACTGGGTGGGATAGAGAATACCCTGGAAGACAGATTGAAGATTCTAGGTCATCTTGATAGGTTGGAGCCCTAGTCTGAAAACAACAGAATGAAATTCCTGAGGGACAAAAGCCAAGTTTTGCACCTAGGAACAAGAAATGAAATGCATTGTTGCAAGATGCTCATACACTCTTCCCCGTCTACCCCACTCCCACCCCCCACTGGTCCTGTAGGTCTCGTATCTCTGATCGCTGATCCACTTGCATCATTACAAGATGGGGAATACATGGCACAACAATATTGTAAGCGAGCAGGATCTTGGCATTGTTGTAGATCACAAGCTGAACAAAAGCCATCCATGTGATGTGTCTGCAAAAAGGGCAAACACTCTCTTAGGCTGCATTAGAAGTATCACTTCCAAATCCCATGAAGTACTAGTTCCCCTTTACTCAGAACTGGTTAGGTCTTATCTGGAGTACTGTGTCCAGTCTTGGGCACCACAATTTAAGAAAGATGCAGACAAGCTGGAAACAGTTCAGAGGAGGGCAATGCAGATGATCTGGGGACTGGCAACAAAGCCACGAAGAGAGATTGAAAGAACGGGCCATGCTTAGTCCCAAGAAGAGAAGATAGAGGAGAGATATTATAGCGCTCTGCAAGTATTTAAAAGGGTGCCGCAAAGAGGAAGGACGGAATTTCTTCTCCATCATCACATGAAATAATGGGCTTGAGTTACAGAAATCCAGATTCCAACTAGTCATCCAGAAAATTTTCCTGACGGTTAGAACCCTATGGCAATGCAACCAGTTACCTATGGAGGCTGTGGGCTCTCCCCCACGAGGAGCATTCAGGATGAGCTGGACAGCCATCTGAGAGGGATGCTTTACCTTGAAGGCCTGCACTGAACAGGGGGTTGGCCCTGATGTCCTTCTGGCCCCTTCCAAGTGAGTCTAGGGAAATTATTATTAATAAGGTCGTCCCTCGCAGCTTAGCAGGGAGCCTTTCCTCTCCAGCATGCCCGACGGCACCTGGGCAGACGCCTCCTTGCAACTGCCCCTGGCTCCCCCTGTCGGCCGCCACACGAATTTCGCGGTAAGGAAGACAGCGGAGGTGAGAGCGGGCGGGCTCCCCCTAGGGGAAAAGAGCGCGAGAGAGGCGAGCATTGACAGCAGGCGGCTGAGAGCGGTTGCCTGCGCGCCGAGCGAGCGTTTCTCTCCTCCTTTGCTACTCCATCCATACGCAGCAGCAGCAGCAGCAGCAGCAACGACGACAGCAGGTTGCAGCCAGGAGCCAACGCCTTCCTTCCCAGGGCCGGGGACGAGGGCGGCTCGCAGGCGGGCGAAGGCAGCAGCCGGCAGCAGCAGCAGCAGCAGCAGCAGCGACTGGCCGCTCCAAACTCCGCTCCTGCCGCGGCACAAGCGCGCCTCGCCGCCCGCCGGGTCTCGTCTGCCCGCCGTCGCGCCCCTTCTGCGCCCGTGTCCCTCCGTCCCGCGTGTGGCGCGCCGGTCCGCCCAGGGCGGCTGCGCCTTTCCTGAAGCCTGGGAGCCCGCGCTGGCCCGCTGCTCTTCCCCATGGGGATTCGCGAGTTCCCCAACGGCACGACGAGGGGCAAGACCGTCGCGATGTGAGTGCGTGGCCCGGGGGGAATCGGGGCCGAGCGGGGAGGCAGCGGCGCGGGGAGCGGAGCCCCTGCTTTCTCGGTGAGGCAGCGCTGCTGGCTCGGCGTGGACCGCCCGCGGCGGCTGCCCTCTGTCGCTGCAAGGCGGCGGGCTCGGGGAGCCGAAGCCGCCTCCTTGCGAGGCTGCCGAAGCCGCGCAGCTGCGCGGGAGGACCACCGCCAGCAAAGTTTTCAGCACCCCCAGCCCTGATTTCTGCCGGAGCTCTTCTTTTCCACTCTGCCCTGTGCATTGGGAACCAGAGGCAGGAGAGCGCGTGTGTGTTCGTGCGGGGCGGAGAAGCAGGATGGTTTTGGAGGGGAAGGACTTAAAGTTCGCCTGGAGCCTTCGTTGCGAGCTTGTTAAGGAATGGGGGTGGATCCGGCTGTCTCCCTCTCAGCAGTCAAGCCCCCCTTGAGATGCACCAAGTGTTTCGGGCTACTGTTCTGCCACGCTTTGAAGAGGTGCCTTCTTTTGGGAGGTGCATCATTACCTTCTCCAACCTAGTGCCCTCCAGATGTTTTGGACTTTAGTTCCCTCTGCAAAGGGTGAAGCAGGAGGATGGGCACGGGAATGGGAGGGCGGGCGCAGCAGGACACGGCCAGGAGGGTGGATTTCCTTTGTACGGCGTGCCCCCCTCATTTCCCCCGCCTCAAGCGCCCAGCATCCCTTGTGCGTGCCTTTCGTACATTATTGATACCTTGTGATGGTGAACCTGCAAGTGTTTGCATTTAGTATATTCTTGTCCTCCCACCCCACCTACCTTTCTTTTCTAGTGGCATGAGGAGATCTCCCGATGTCAGCCCCAGGAGGCTGTCAGACATAAGCCCTCAACTCCGGCAGCTCAAATATCTAGTGGTGGATGAGGCAATCAAAGAGGATTTGAAATGGTCCCGATCTATGGAAGATCTCACCAGCGCTTCCGTGGGACTGACTTCCATCGAGGAAAGGATTCTGCGGATTACTGGCTATTACGGCTATCAGCCCTGGGCTGCCAGCTACAAAAGTAAGTCCCCGGTTTATCCATTTCTCCTTAGCAGCTGCTGCCACTGTTCCTTCCATCCCCCTCCTTCAACTTTCTGTCAGCAGGAGTCTGTCTCCTTTCCAGCTGCCTGAAGGGTTGGAAAAAGGCTTTATGTTGCGCTCTGGAATTAACCCGTTGAATCCCTTTCCAGGTGTCAGAGTCTGACCGTGGAATTTCACTTTGGATGGTTAAAATAGATTAGATATTCCCCCTCGTGCTTTGGCTGATATGCTGCCGCTTCTTTTCTGCTGCCGTCTTTCCCACAGTCTGATTACTTGGTGTGTGCGGTGGACTTCTGTCCATGTGTCAGTCATTGTTGAGTCTGATAGTGGATTGGTAGGGGGCAAATGCCCTCTTTCGGTGCACATCTGCGCCTGCTGTTTCTAAACCTTGTGACACCCTGCAGATGTATAAAAAGCTTGATCTGCTGAACTTTCTGGTTGTCTGGAGAAAATGGCGATTATTATATGCAATGTAAGTCTTCACACTGGGAAAAGGTTTCAGTTTAGTGCTGAGCTAGGACCAAATGAAAATTTGGTAAAAGGTCACTAGGGCACAAAGCTCCCCCCCTCCCACTTTGAAAAGAAAAGATAAAGAAAGCTGACGCATTAGAGGGTGGCTGAACTTGCCTTGATTCAATGAAGGCATCGATTTTTTATTATAATTCGAGAGAATGACTTATAGCTGGATGATTTTTTTTCTTCCAGTGCCAAAGTGATTTGCTACATATTACATTAATCTAAGAAAAGTGGGCTTTTTTATTGCTTATTATGTTATTTTGAATGCTAAAATATAATTTGCTTGCATTTTGATATTATATGTGAAACATATTACTCAAGTAATATGTGAAGTAAGTTGTTATTCACAGGCTGAAATGTATATTAGAGTATATTAAGGGTGCAATCCTTTGCAAATTTAAATAGAAAGTGCCTACAACTTCCAGCATGCCTCAGCCATGGGGCATGCTGGGAATTGTAGGCCTTTTTTCTGTCTAAATGTGAGTGAAATTGCATCTTAAATAAAGCATTTTAATTATTTCAAATAATTCTTACAGTTATTTTACTCCAACTGGTAAATATCTCTGTCAGGTAGTATGGCTCACAACACTACACTAATCACAATTAATGCATTCATGTTTCAAGATTTCAAGAAAAAATATTTGATGCCTCAGAATACTTTGATGGTGACAGCTGATCTTGCTTATGCATCTCCAAAAGTGAGGGGGCTGGGACTAGGTCCTTCAGTTTGGGGAGTTTTCTATAAGGAATGCAAAACCCATGTTTTAAATTTTATGTATCTGTAGGGTATACAGCAAGAACAGCATGCATCTAATTGGCCCAAAGAAATTGTAATTATGTATCTTGGTTCCTTTCTGCCTTGGTATTGGTTCAAGAGCTTTCAGATCCCCAGGCAAGAAGTCTGGGTATTCTGCCATCAATAAGTTTATTTAAAACTTATTTTAATTGTTAATTTATTGGTTATTTATAGGATTTTAAATCTTTTAAGCCGAGATGCACCAGGTTTTAATATTTTTATTGTATAATTTGTTATATTTGTATATTTTGTTCTTGTTGTGAGCCACCCTGAGGCTTTGTTGCAATGGGGGCGGCATAAAAATGTTTTAAATAAATAAATAAATAAAATGGTGCAGCTTGCACTGACACAAAAGCCATTTTATCAGCTCAGAAATATTCCTACTAGGTATCCTTCACATTAAATATTTGAATAAGTATTTGCTTAGACCCATGGAAATGACCTGTGGGAGTGTCACCATTTGGTATGTAGATATCTGCATGAAGTCACTGGCTGAGATGGTCTGAAGCTTTGGGTTTTGCTGATGATGCCTAGTTCTGCTTTTCTATCCAGATCCAGGGTAAGAAGTTTCCTCCTGAACCGGTACCTGGTGAAGATGCATGGGCTGTAGCTCAATACAGACAAAGTATAAATGGGGGCTGCTAGGTTCCTAGATGAGATTTGCCTCCTTTACCTGAATAACTATGCATTCTGGAGGCTTTTTGAGCCCTACATTATTTAAATTATTAGAATTAATTTGGGTTACTGCTTCCACCACCTGTAGCATATGATGGATTGGGCAACTAACAATGTGCTTTTGAAACACAGCTTTATATCTATTTTTTAAACTTAGTTTTATCGTAAGTTTCAATAGAATCCTAAAAAAGAAAAAAGTAACTACATGTATTTGCATATATCAATTACACATAATCTTTAACAAAGGTAGACCAAATATCTATGTATTTATCCATTTGAGAGTGTTGTCTGTATGTCATCTGTTCAAATGTTGAATTCTTTATTAGTTCTTCAGTTCATTGCGCTCTGAAAGGTTAGCATATTTCTTTCCAGTGTTGTAATATTAATTTTTAGCTGCCAAAGGTCCGTAGAAAATGCATTTCTGTTGACTGTGCATTACATTTGAGGAGGCAGGTAGAGAATTTAAAATAATATAGACATCAGTATATACTAATGAACGTTCTGGTACAAATTTTATCCATATTATTATCTCCTCCCAAAAAAGAGACAACCATTAGGTATTGCCAAAATACCGTATTTTTCGCTCTATAAGACGCGCCTGACCATAAGACGCACCTAGTTTTAGAGGAGGAAAACAAGAAAAAAAATATTCTGAATCAAATGGGCACATAATCACAGGCACATTCTCCATCACTTCCCCATGGGCTGCACACCTGACAGACTTACTGCACACACATATTCGCTCTATAAGACGCACAGACATTTCCCCTTACTTTTGAGGGGGGGAAAAGTGCATCTTATAGAGCAAAAAATACGGTATATGATTAAAGGAAGCATTAGCATTATTGCATCTCCACTAAGCTGACTTAGACAAATAATTATTAAAGCGATATTGTGGTGTCTAACAAATACAAAACAAGAGTTTTTGTTGAATAAGACATAATTTGAGATATAGTTATCTTCAGATATAGATTCTAAAGTGACAATCCTTTGAATGGATTGAATTTGGTAATGCCATTTCCTGTTCCATTCCTGTTTAAGATTCTGTGCATTACATTTGTTTGTCAATAATAAATTCTTACAAATGTCACAATTATAAATATTGTCATTCAGCCATAAGCAAGCAAACGGTGCTTGAGATGAAAATCCAAAAATGATTATCAAGCCATGCAAATTGACCCAAAGTAAAAAATCAAAAATCAGGGCTGCCAAAAAAAGTTTCTCACTAATTTTTGAGTCTGGACTTGATCATAAAGTCAATTTAGTACGTGAGAATAGATGGTCTCTTGTAGCTATAACTGTGGTAAGAACCCCAGCTTAAGTTCTATAGTGCAGATTTGCAGCTGCCCAGCTACTTTCTCAAAAGGGCAACTAACATGATCAAACAGGTGGAACAACTCCCCTATGAGGAAATGTTGCAATATCTGGGTCTTTTAGCTCAGCAAAAGGGCAATCCAAGAGACGCATGGGAGAGGTGTACAAAATGGATACAGTTTTCTGCCTAGCACCTGAGGACATCCCATGGAGCTGATGGATGGAAGCTTCAGAATAAATAGCACTTACTTCTTCACCCAGCACACAGTTAAGCTGCAGCATTCGCTTCCACAGGATGTAGGGGTGGGCAGAAATTTGGATAGCCTTAAAAGGGGCTGGGCAAATTTGTGGAGAAGGATATCAACTGCTCCTAGCCCTGGTGGCTGTATGAGACCTCCAATATCCAAGGCAGTACTAGCAGCTGAAGAGCATGACTAGGAGGCTCATGTCCTGTTTGTCCTGTTCCAAGTTTATTTTAGTAGCCAAAGGACATGAAAAATGCATCAAATGAATGCATGCTGATGACAAAATGAAGAATTTCAACCATGTAAAATATAAATAAAATATACTAGGAACAGAAATTCATCTTTAACTTAACTCTGAATCTCCAGTGCCGTTACAACAATTTTGTCTAATTCTCTCTTCGTGATCTTTGCACATAAGCAAACAAAGCAACCTCATGCGTCACATAACTACGAATATCACTTAAAAGAAGGATGGTTTCTGCCAAAGAGTTCCTGTATCCATCAGTTAGCAAGGGTTTCATGCATCTCTCCCTGGTGTCAGTACATAGAGGACAGATTGGCATTTAATGAACGACGTCTTCAGCTTGATATAAACCACAAATACATAACCTGTGTTCAAGAGGCACCTTGTTACATTGCCCATCCAAAACGTCAGTTGGCATAACTTGAAAGCACAACTCAGTAAAGGCGCTTCTTAAAAAACATGTCTCATTCTGGACAGATAGCTAGCTTTATAGAGTTCTGTTTCCAAAAGAGGAAACCATTGAGCAAAATCAGAGTTTTTCATTGATTGCGGGCCTTTTCTAGGGTCTGTCCAAAATAACCAGCCCCTTAATTGATGTCCTGTTTGTGAGCTTTCCATTGGAGCGCCCAGGTGGCTGCTGTGTGAGCAGAATGCGGGATTGGTGGATCTTCGTGTGTGACCAGCGTGGCTCCTTTTGTGTTCTTATGTTCTGGAAGGGGACAATAGCTTGGCATGCATTTACTGTCCAGTCTGACAAAGAGAAGGCCATAGTGGAGTCTGAAGAAAGCAGGCCGGCAGGGCTGATCTGGAGGTCTGACAGAGAAGGAGTCTGTATCTCCTTGGGCATCACAGGTCAGAAAGCAAGAGCGGATAGTGACACAACACTGGACAAGCTCCAGAAAGAAACCAGCTGATTTCTATTTTATGTAGCCCTTCAGCCTGTTTATGCTACCTGGATGCTGTCCATTTTTAGGAAAAGAACAGGCCTCTCTAAGCAATGCCTCTCTGTTGCTTATACCCAGGTACATTGCCTGTGCGTAGTAGGCAGAACTGGCCTTCAAGACTTCTGGGAGATAAAATGCTAGTTCCCTGGTTGCCATTTCTGGGGGCGTTGGTACTGCCCCAGGAGTTTCTGATTCCAGTGGATCCTGGTTACTGGATTTGGACTCAGTATTAGTCTCCATTGGTGA